AAGGCCCGAGGACACACCATGGAGAAAACCGACCCCACAGAATATTGATGTGAAACCCGCATTGGGTCTGTTTCCTTCAGGTCAGAATCCGGTGCTGGCTTCAGGACAAGTGGGGGTGTCCCCGCTTCAGAGCCCTCAACTCCCCGTTTCCAGTGCTGGGCAAGGACAGGTCATCACTGCCGTCTACCCCACCCCCACAGGGACCAGTCCTGTCCAGTCCGCCAGTCACAGCGTGGTCTATTCAGTGGCTGCCACGGGCACTACCACGGTCTCCTCTCCTACAGCCATCCTGCCCAAAGGGGGCAGCGCCAGTCAGAGCACCGGGAGTTCCAACCACAGCCTGATTTCCACAGGTATGGGGTGGCTGATGGGCATTGGAGTTGCAAGGGGAAAGCGATGGTGCCGGGGGGAATTTCTCTCCAGAGAGAAAACGGAAGAGAGAACCAAGGCAGGGACTCAAAAGAACCTGTTTTGAAATCGCAGATAAATCTCTCCTTCCAAATGATGTTCCTCATTTAGCTTTGCTGGTCACGAAGGAGAGGAAAAAGGATTGAAATTTTCCCCTGCGTGGTGTAAATATTTGTGATGCCACGTCGGTTCGGGTTCAGCAGTTGTGATTCGGCTGTTTTCAAGCCAGGCTTGGTGCTCAGTGCTGAGCTGAACCCTAAAACTAGGTTAGCCGAAATCTTTGCGGCCCAAATACGGGACACCGAAGCAGATGGATCGTATGATGATCATTACGGGGGCCTGGTTCGTAGAGCAGGTTCCCACAACCCCACCTGGGCCAGAAAGCATCCGACCTCATTTTAATTTGACCTAGTCTAGTCCAGCGATAGTTGGGTTTTCCTTGCATCTTATTATGACGGGATGAATGCAGATCCACAAGCCGAGTTGAGAAGGGGGGAGATTAATTGGGGGAGGGGGAATAACGGGAAATGGGAGGTGACCCTCTCTATTACAGGTAGTCCTTGGGTTATAGCCATTTAATTTAGCGACCAAAGTTACAGTGGCACCGAAGAAACCTATGACCATTTCCCACATGACCATTGCAGCATCCCCATGGTCACGTGACCAGAATTCAGACGTTTGGTAACTGTCGGGTGTTTATGACGGTTGGGGTCTCCTGGGGTCACGGGATCCCCTTTTGCAACCTTCTGGCGAGCAAAAAGTCAGCGGGAAAGCCAGATGCACTTAAAACGTATTGGGAACTCCCAAGGTTAGCATCACACCAACTCTCAGGTAAACACTGAGCTGCGGTGGCGCAGTGGTTAGAATGCAGTACTTCAGGCTACTTCTGCTGGCTGCAGTTTGGCAGTTCGAATCTCACCAGGCTTGAGTCGATTGACAGTGGCAATTAGAGAACAGGAAGAACAAAAAGACTGTTAAAAAAATTGGAATTTATTCTATTAATGGCTAGATAGAAGAGTAAGAAATTGAAATATGTAACAATGTAATATAATTGATTGAATTAGATTGAGTAAGAAAATGAATATAATCAAAAGGTGAAATATATTCTTGAAGGTAATAATAATGTTAACGATACTATAACAATTGATAAGTGTGATATAAAATATTGATTAGAATGATTATAAATATAAACAAGTAAGAAATGTATGATAATAGGATTATGAGCACAAGAGATATGTACCCAACCAACACACCGTTGAATGGAAGGATGGTTTTATTTGTTTGTTTTTGTTACAAAATAAAAAACTTTTCAAAAAAAAAGAAGAATCTCACCAGGTTGCAGGCTGACTCAGCTTCCATCCTTCTGAGATTGGTAAAATGAGGACCCAGATTGTTGGGGGCAGGAGGCTGACCCTGTAAACTAGATAGATAGATAGATAGATAGATAGATAGATAGATAGATAGATAATTCTTTATTGGCCAAGTGTGACTGGACACACAAGGAATTTGTCTTGGTTCAAAGGCTCTCAGTGGACATAAAAGAAAAGATTCAAGAATCATAAGGTACAACACTTAATGATAGTCACAGGGTATAATAAGCAATCAAATCATACAGGAAACAATCGATATAAATCATAAGGATACAAGCGACAAAGTTACAGTCATACAGTCCCAAGTGGGAGGGGATGGGCAATAAGGAGTGATGAGAAGAGCGGGCAGTAAAGCGCTGTGAAGTGGTGTATAAGTGCTATTGCTATTGCTAACTTAGCAACTGCAGTGATCCACTTAACATCCATGGCAAGAAAGGTCCTAAAATGGGGTGAAACTCACCCTAACAACTGTCTTGCTTAGTGACAGAAACGTTGGGTTCCACTATGGTGATAAGTCGAGGTCTATTATTGCTCACGATCACCTTTTTCTCTCCTTCCCTCCCAGCTGCACAAGTGATTCCTTCGACGCCCACTCGGCCTCAGCGCCCACCCCTCAAGCCTCCCCAGAAAGTCAAGGCCACCATTGCTAACATCCCCGTTGGTTCTTACGAAGCCGTCTCTTCACCAGGCCCCGTCCGGCCTCCTGCGGGGCAGCACCAGGATTCTGGAGGAGCGCGATACCACCGGGAGACCGAAGCCTTGGAACGGCCCTCACGCGAGGCAGGGCCCCAGGACACCCCCTCTTCCCCTGCCTGCCAGGGGGCCGAAAAGAGCCCCGCCAAAGCTCAGGAGTTGAAGCGAGACTGCTGGGAGCCAATATCGCCCCCGGCATCCCAGCCACCGCAAGTAACGGAGACCCCGGCCACAGAAGCCATCTGGAGCCAGCGGGAGACGGCAGCGGGGTCCACTGAAGAGGGTGCCGCCCGTGAGCCTCCTCCGCCCTCTCTGTTGGGCAGCAAAGGGACTGAAACGGTAAGAAAGCCCAACAACACTGCCAGGCAACTTTCACACTCCCCATAAGCCATCTTTGTGACTTATGGCCACCATAGCCATAGTGTCATGCCCTTGTTGGAATCTGATTCTGAGGAAGAGATTGAGCAGCTGACAGGAAGTGGGAGTGTGGCTGTGGAAGAAACAGGGGAAGAGCACAGTCCGGCTGGGCATTCAGAGAAAGACCCAGGGCCACCCCCTCTTCATCCTAGGGCACGCAGGGAGGAACGGAGAAGGGAGCAACGTGGGCTTACGGGAGGGATAAGGGCCCTGATCCCTCTCATTAGTTGCAGCTGGGAGTACAGGATATAAGCAAAGTGTGTTTTATCTTGGTTGAGGCTTATCTGGGTTTTGGCGTCCTCCCAACTGTGGTTGCTGCATTATCTTGTGGAAGTCTGCAATTTATTATCCTGGCCTAATAACTTCAGTGTGGTTTGTGTTGGGTTTTTTTTATTTCTAATTATCTTAAACTTTGGGTTCGGACTGCATTTACTCAGACTTGTAGACTGTTTTTGGCAGAGTTTGATATTTAGCCGAGGATAATTTGACATTGAGGCCCAAGTTGGAGGCATTAAAGGGAATTTATTCTACTTTTGTGACTTTGTTATTTTTGTGTCACGCCCCGGGTCATAACATATACCCTGCAGCAGGTCTATGAAGCTCGTGGTGCACTAAGCAGCCTTTTTAAATTTCACGCTGTACTGTATTTTTACAGAGTATAAGACGCTCCGGAGCATAAGACACACTTTAATTTTAGGGGAGGAAATTAAGGGGGAAAAAATTCTGCCTGTGCCTCCATCCATCGGTATTTGCCTGGCTAGCGTCCTTAAGCATCCTGGCTCGCTAAAGCACATTATTGCAGCCTGATATCAGCACAAGCCGCTGATTGGCGGGTGGATCGGCCTCCTGGAACACCCAGCTGTTCCCAGAGGTGAACGTTAACCACCCCTGTCTCACCTTGACGAATGAAGGCGAATATATGTGTCCCAGGATGATGTTGCAGGATCCAACCTGGATCCCGCTGACAAGAGCCAGATTGGATCCTACCTTATCCTGGTTCTCAAAACTAATCAAGAGGAACCGCTTCCTGGTTGCGCCTCGGCAACCTGCTGCCGTGTTCCCCCTCATAGTTGGGAGTCGTCTCTTCCGAGCTGCTCGCTAGCGTCCTGTCCTTGTCTCCTCATCCAGGCCCCGAAATTCCCCGGCTCCCCTGACTGGAGATCATCTGGTCCAGAGGCTCGTCCTGAGACTTCGGCCTCAGCTGCAGCTCCCGCTTCCTCCTCTTCGCTGAGCCCGATCCCGTCAAACGCCGGGGAGGGCTCCCAAAGCGGCGTTTCGGCTCCGCCTCCAACAGCGGCCCCTCCAACAGACAGCCTCGAAGCAAAGGAGGCTCCAGGGGGGAAGAAAATGAAGGTCCGGCCTCCCCCGCTGAAGAAAACCTTCGATTCCGTCGACAAGTGAGTGGCGGGAAAGCGAGCGCGGACAGTGTCTTGTGCCCAAAGACCGAAAGATTCCCACTACGTGGATTGTATTCTTTTTGGTGGGGGGTGGGGTGGGGGCAGGACTTCTTTGTGACTTTATCATGGTGGCGATTTGCAGCTGTAGAAAAGGTGCAGCTCTTCCATTTCTTTATTAGTCTCTCCTCTTTGGCCAGCCATGCCAGGCTGTGTTGGGTTCTCAGAGTACCTTCTGCTTGAATTCAAACCAGAGTGAACCTGGGGGAGGAACGGAATGCATGTTAAAAACACTTCCCCGAATCCTCTCTTGGTGGTCAGTAGTTCCCTCGTGGGCCTTGGAGCTTGCACAGTGCCAGGCAACAGGATAGTTGCAAGACCTGAACCTGTGAAGAGATTCTTTTTTCACAAGGAAACAGGCCCAGACAGGCTCAGAGGAAAGGCAAAGAGATTCTGGGGGATGTATATAAACTAAGAGAGTTATTCCTACGTGTTATTTTATTATTTATTTTATTTATAGGCCACCTTTGTTATTTTTATAAATAACTCGAGGTGGCGAACACACAATATTCCTATTTTCCCTACAACAACAACTCTGTGAAGCTGCCTTAAGACAGTTCAAAACATTCTCAAAGATGCATCTCATCCTGGGAAACCCCCCCCCCCCTTTTTTTAGAACTATTACCATCTGGCAGATGGTACAGGATAATAAAAACAAGGACAGAGAGGCTGAAAAACAGCTTCTATCCCAGGGCAGTAGCTCTGTTGAATTCTAATATATACTATAGTGTCGGTGCGGTGTCAGAGGTTTTCAGTTCAATGTGTGGAATGTGAAGGACGTGTGTTTGTGTTTATTTTCATGGTCATGATGTGCACTGAAGATGGTGTTTGATTTCGTCGTAGGAGGTGCAATGACAATAAAGTAAACTAAAAAAAAAAAGTGGGTTGGACTGAGAAACTGCGTGGCTCAAAGCCATCCAGCTGGTTTCCATGGCTAAGGCATGACTAGAACTCACAGTCTTCTGCTCTCTACCCTGGTGCCTTAACCACTAGACTATTATTGCTTGGGCGACAACCCAGTACTGGGAAGAGCCAAAGGTCCCTGACACAGGCAGTTTTTATGCTGGTGCATCTTTCAGCCACACCCCCAGGCTTACTTGGAAGCACCTTTTAGCACATTGAATCAAACTTCCCACCTCTGTTTGCCTGCCCTATGATGGCTGGGTCCCGGGGCTCTAATTCCTCGCAGAATAGAGACTGCAGAGACCTGTGTAAGTTGTCCTGGAGGCCTCCTGGAATCCCTAGAAAGGCCCTATTCCTAGAGGGATTCCTGGAGTGATTGGGCAGCACTGCCGTAGGGAGGGATGCCCCGGAGGCTGGATGGGAAGCAACAGGGAGAGCCAGGGGGTGGGGTCTGCCTTGCCCGGCCTGACTCCTCCCTCCTCCCCTCTTGCCCCAGCAGGGTTCTCTCGGAAGTGGATTTTGAGGAGCGCTTTGCCGAGTTGCCTGAGTTCAAGCCGGAAGAGGTCTTGCCTTCACCTACACTGCAGTCCCTTGCCACCTCTCCGCGGGCCATTCTGGGCAGCTACCGCAAGAAGCGCAAGAATTCCACCGGTAAGCGGGAAGGAGAGAAGCGCGTGTGAAGGTCAACTGAGTCTCGGGAGGGAAGACAGATGTCTTGAGTCCTGCTGCTGACAAGGTTCTGGGGCTTGGCAACTCTACAACTCAAGGACCTAGAGTAGTTCCTGGAAAGTGATTTGCAAGTTGTTGTTTTTTTAAAATAGTGGCATGATTGAGTTTCTTCCTTTCTTTTTTGCTTTTGTGCGACAGTTTCTCTGGTTTTTATTAACAAAAGACAATCAAATGTTCATACAACAATCCTTTTTTTAACATTTAAAAAAGAGCAGGAATTTTGTTCACTTATTTGTATCCTGCCTTTATTATTTTTACAAATAACTCAAGGCAGTGAACATCTCCAACACGCCTTCCTACTCCTATTTTCCCCACTCTATGAGGTGGGGTTGGGCCCAAAGTCACCCAGCTAGGTTTCATGCCTAAGATTGGTCTAGAACTCACTTTCCTCCTGGTGGTTGGCATAGAATCACCCAGTCACCCTAAGGCAGGACTAGAACTCAACAGCCTCCTAATTTCTAGGCCAGCATCTCAGCCACTTCATCAAACTGGCTCTCCCCTGAGAAGGGCAGCTTTTGGCATAGCATTTGGGACCTGGGAATACACTGTGGGGTCTCTCTCATGTTTCTGGATCATTCTCCTTTGCTCCCGTGATCTCCCCCTCCCTCTTGTAGAGCAATGTGGAAAAACAAGCAGCGTCAATGTGACCATTTCATCTGACAGCCTTTGAATTTCACACAGAGCAGGTCGCTGGAGTGCGAGCATCTCTCGTGCGAGCATCGCTTCCTCCTAACCTGGGGTTCCTTTTTCAGACCTGGACTCCTCCACGGAAGACCCCATCTCCCCCAAACGGAAGATGCGGCGTCGTTCCAGCTGCAGCTCGGAGCCCAACACTCCCAAGAGCGCCAAGTGTGAAGGAGACATCTTTACTTTTGACAAAACAGGTAGTCGGAAGCTGGAGGGAATCCCCGCCCAAGGGCAAGAAGGGCTGCTCAGCGGAGGAATTGGTTTATTTAAGAAGGTTTATATGGCCACCCAGTAAGTGGTCCCTGCAGCTTACAAGGCTAAGAGTCCAGTTTAAGAACAATAGAACGGCAATAACCCTTCTCCTCTCATCCTCTGGTAATTAAATGAACCATTTGCTGGGCTCCGTCCCATTCTGGGGTCCCCAGGCCCACGGTCCCTAGAACCATGTCTTCAGGGCCTTTGGAAAGAGGGTGAAAGTGGGGCCAATGTTAATTCCTCATGGGGGGAGCCTCCATGGAGAAGGCCCTCCTCCTTGGTCCTGCTAGATGGACCTCCTTAGGAATTGGCAAGTCTAGGGTTTCTACCGGCCTCCCTCTTCCAGCAGCGTCCATCTCTCCGTAGGCACCGACACGGATGACGTACTTGGGGAGCTGGAGTATGAGAAGGTGCCCTACTCTTCACTCCGACGTACCCTGGATCAGAGGCGGGCTTTAGTCATGCAGCTCTTCCAGGACCATGGCTTCTTCCCTTCAGGTAGAGGAGTTTTGTTTTTGTTTTTGTTTTAATTTATTTTTTTGTGGCATGGAGCGACCAGCTTTAGACTCCGATTCGCTGACTTCCAACTGAATTGCAGTCTGAATTGAGTTTCGGTGGGTTCTGGATTTCCTAGAGTAACTCCCGCAGAGTCTTGGTTGTGCTAAAGAAAACGCTTCTCTTTTTAAATACTGCAGTAGATGCTTTTGTTGGCTTTCGGACTTTGCTGGGGAGGGTTGTCTTGAAAGCTGCAGGCCAGAGTTGTGCTCATCTCTGCGTGTTTCTGGATTGTTGATTTAGGGGGGGAAAAGGCTTCAAGAAATAACCCTCTAGGGCAAAGGTTTCCAAACTTGGCAACTTTAAAGATTTGTGGACTTCCAACTCCCAGAATTCTCCAACCAACCTAGCTGGCTGGAGAATTCTGGGAGTTGAAGTCCACATGTCTTAAAGTGGCCAAGTTTGGGGACCCCTACTTCTAGGGCAAGGTTTCCCAAGCTTGGGCCCTTTAAAATGCACGGCAGTGCTGCCTGGAAAATTCTGGGAGCGGAAGGCCAGGGAAAATATTTTCCTGTACGGTAGTTCTAACTTAAAGCCATTCGCTTCCCCCCCAATCCAATTAACAATGGGAAAAAAAGTAGCTTAAAACTCTTTTTCACATGACCATTGCAGCATCCCCATGATCAAACTTCAGATACTTGAAAACTGGATTGGTATTTATGACAGCTGCATTTCCCCCGGGGACGTGTGTGATCCCCCTTTTTGTGACAAAGTCAGCGGGGAAGCCAGATTCACTTAACAGCCGGGTTACTAACCTGTAGCGAGAAAGGTCGCAAAATGGGGACAAAGTCCCTTAACTGCCTTGCTTAGCAATGGAAATATTGGGCTCGATTGTGGTCATAAGTTGAGGACTCGCTGTACAGGGAGGAACGGCTCCCTTACCGTCGTCTCCCATCTGTTGTCAATCTTATCTGTGCCTCGCTGGGCTTTTTTATTATTATTATTATTTCTCTCCCTCTCCTCCATTTCTCCAGCCCAAGCCACCGCAGCTTTCCAAGCCCGCTACTCCGACATATTCCCTACCAAGGTCTGTTTACAACTCAAGATCCGGGAAGTGAGGCAGAAGATCATGCAAGCAGCCACTCCTACGGAGCAAGCCCCCAGCACGCCGGAGCCCGGAGGCACCCCAGGCGTCGTGGTGGGGGGCGGCGGCAGCACCGCAGAGGGACAGCTGGCGGAGTTGAGCCTCCCGCAAGACTCCGCCCAAAGCACAGAGCCCGCCCTCCCAGCAGCCAGCCCTTCCACCGCAGCCGCTGGCTGGGACTGTAGCCAGCAGTCTTCCCCGGGGACGGCCGGTAGCAGCACCACGACCACCACGACCACCAGCAGCAGCAGCAACAGCAGATGAAGAGCCACCCCCCCCCCACCCACGCCCCCCCCCAAACAGCAAGCAAGAAAAAGCAGCGGCGTGGTGGGTGGGTAGGGAAGCCCCCGGAGCTTTCCCCACCCCCACCCTTGCCCTGCTCCTCCCCGGTGCCCCTCCCCTTGCTAACCTCCCCCTCCGGCTCTTTTTGTCTGTGACTGTACGGGCGAAGCTTCCGTCACCCGTAGAGAGACGCTGCCTGGGCTGCTCCTTTGCGGGCCTCTCTCGAAGCCGTTCTGATCTGACCTGGGTGGGCCGCGGCCTTCCAACCGGTCCCCCTCCGCACCTTCCCTCCTCCCCAAAGAACTCAAGTGGTGGTGCTGACCTATCGGCCATTCCAGGACACAGGCCAGGAGACCTCTGGGGAGGGGTGGGGGGTGGGTGGGGGGGAGAGAGCTCCCAGAAGGCCCTCCCAGGCGCACCAACCCACCCACCCACCCCCTGTAAAATGACAGACCTCGTGTCGATTTCCTCCCCGCAACCCCCCACCCCCCAAACACACACACACCTCCTTCCAATAATGTTATAAGTATTTGGAAACCCCACCTACTTGTTGCTTCTGTGTCATCGGGGCGGGGGAGGGGGAAGGGAGCCTTTTTTTTCCCCCCCATCCATCCTTGCAGTGGGGAAGAGGGGAGGTTGCTTGGCCTCCCGGACAGGTGATCGCTTTGGTCATTCGGCGAGCTGGGTCACTGGAGAAGCCAGAAGGAAGAAAGGAGAGGAAAATTGGATCCAGGGCAAGGCTGGGCTCCGTGGAGTTTTCCCGCCAAGAGGGTCTCCTTGCAGAGAGAGGAAGGAGGAGAGACTTCTGTTGTGTGTGCGGCGCAGCCTAAATCTGGATGGGCGTTGAGAGGGGTCTTGGGAGAGAGGGAGCTGGCCTGGCGGGCTCCCCTCCCAAGGACGAGTGCCCTGGTGGCCACAGCCACATGTTGACCATGTGTAACCCCTTCTGTATTGGGGTGGCCCCACCTCACATACTATTAAAGCTCTTTAACAATCTGGTCTGGTGGTCGAATTGCGGTTCCTGACGAGAATTCGGTCCTGCGTTCTGCAAGCATTTTGCAGTGACCACTTTAGGGGTGTGGTGTAGAGGTGGGTGAATTCGGCAGGTTCTGATCGGTTCTGGAGAACCCGAGGCAGGAATTTGGAGTAGTTTGGAGAAGCAGCCAATCCCGCCTCTAGACTGGCTCTGATCTATTCTCCGCCTCCCATTGAGTCCCAGCTGATTGGCTGGGTCTCCTTTTGTTGCCCAGCACAGGAGAACGGAGCTGGAAAGCAGGTTAGTTGGGTGGGGAGGGAATGGGGATTTTACCTTCCCTCCCACCGCTACTAAGTCAAGCCACAGCCACAGAACTGGCAGTAATTTTTTTTGAATCGCATGTGGGGCATCGTTCCTGCTGCCATTTTGGCTGGCTCCGTTTTTCTCATCCTTGCAGGTGCCAAGGTATGCTTGAAATGTTTTGGTTAAGGTTTTGTTGGAAGGAAGGGAAAGCTATAGAGACATACCTTGGGGCAGATTTTAAGCTTGGGGGCTCCGGTGTCTCGCTCCCCTTGTGGATTTGCAGCGGCTGTGAGAACACAGTCTTGTCTTTGGAAGAAAATGTTCCTACAGCACCACAGTGCAGACCTCTGGAATTGTGTCTACAGGTAATCCTCAAACTTAACCGTTCATTTAGTGACCAGAGTTACAAGGGCACGGAAAAGCGACGACCATTTTTCACACTTTCGTCTGCTTGCAAGCATCCCCATGATCACGTCAAAATTTTGACGGCTTGGCAACTGGTTCCTATTTATGACCGTTGTAATGTCCTGGGGTTGTGTGATCCAACTTTTGAGACCTGACAAGCAAAGTCAACGGGGAAGCCACAGTCACTTAAAGGCCGTTTTGACTTAACTCGACAACTGCAGTGATTCGGGTAACTGGCCGGAAAGGTCGTAAGACGGGGCAAAACTCGCTTAACAAATGTCTCGCTTGATAACATGTTGGGCTCA